CATATAGATAATAAAATACAAATGTTACTTCTTATGTAACGATCCTAAATTTTTAATTGAATAAAATTTCTCCTCCAATAAATATTTTATTTAAATAAGTTTTTTTTAACAAATTTGGTTTTTATTTTATTTTATTTTAAATTATAAAAAAATTATGCCCTTTTTTTTGTGCCTTCTTATATAGTTTTCTTTATGTCCTTTTCTTGTAATTTCCATAATTTTCTTATTGCCAGATTCTTCTACTCTTCGGGCGGAAATAAAAAAACAGAGCATCTCATTCTTTTTCTTTTCACCGCCATTACTCTCCTCTAGTCTCCCCAACAGTCCATTCCTTTGGCTCTTCTCATCAATTTCGTTTGCACGCCTTCAACCTGTGCTCCTTCACTGTTGTTCGTTCGTCCGTTTTCGCGCAGCCGAGAGGTTGAATCTCCTTCCCCATTGCAGCTCTGTTTTCGTGACTGAAGAGGTGTGTGTAAGCGTGTTCAACATTTCTCTTTCTTTCTCCTTAGCTGCTGGAAATTTCGTGTCGTTGAAGTAGGGTAGCTTGATTTCTTTTTTTTTTTTTTTTAATGGCTGGAAATTTCTGGTTCTTCTTCTCATTGGTAGCAAGTGGAGCCCTTTTCTTTTCCTTCCATAGCGTCATTCACATGCTGATTCAAAGTGGTGGCACTGCTATTTCGTTTGAGGTGAGTGTCCTGTTCTTTTTCTCCCTTCTCTTCGATTTCTAGAGCAGCATCGAATCATCATTTTTTTCCTGCTCTGGTTGGTTGATGCAATACACCCCTTTTGTTTTCTTTCACGGCTGCCGTGTTCTTCCTTCATTAAAAAATATAAACATTTTATTTTTTTAGATAAGTTAAATATTTAAAAATATAAAATATTTTTAATCTTTCAAGATATATTATTATATTTTTTTTTAAGTATTTCTATTAACAGTGACTTTATATTTATTGTAGGATACTCAATAGAGGTTAATATAAAAAGATAGGATTAGTTAAAAAGTAAGTAACTACTTTATTGAGAGGTGAGATTTGATTATAAATGCCTTATATTTTGAATGGAAGAAGTAGAAATTTTAGAAGGAATTGAGGGCTAGTTTTGGTTATATTGGGTGTTATTTTTCTATGATGTTGAGCTGAATAATGATGA